TCTATTGCACTGGTAGTCGAAAATTTTATTGGGGAGACTGGGGAGCATTGGGAGCATATATATGTAATACGTTTAGACAAGTTCAGTGCTTTTCAAACATCCGCATAAGTGATACCTGTTTGACCGTTTTAAATCTATCTATCTCTTATATATTATTTAGTTTGTAAATAAGCTGCACACGCACTTTGTAATAATTAATGAATCGAAGGCACACCATAAAATAATAACACCACAAAAATAACACACCACACAATAAACTACAAAAGCGACTGATAATTAATTAATTATAAAATTTCGATAAAAATCTTTTCAAAATGGGCTACAAATTATATCCCTTCTAGACGCAAATGAACACAGACTGCAACCAAACACAGGTACTGTAGGGATAATTATTGATTTAACGTAGCATTTTTACCGCATCCTGTGATAACAAAACTAAATAAAATATGCATTACTTTTGAACAGAAATTTTGCTTTTGAAATAAGAATATTTAATTTTAAAAAATGAGGTATAATACGCATTAGTTTTAAACAGATTTTGTGCTTCTTAAATAAGAATATTAAATATATACTTTAAATAAATCAGGTATAATTCTTTCTTTCAGTTATTAACTTTTAGATAACTGTAAAAAATAAATAATGCCTTTATTTTCATTTACCCTTTTTAGGTCGTCCTATTCTGAAAGGAGGTCTAAATTCAATTCCGCAACCCAATTCTGCACTTCCTTTTAATGCCCATAAAATTGGAATGCAACCCATTCATCAACCTAATCAACCTAATCAGCATATGCAGCAGCAGCAGCAACTAAGATTTATATCTGTGGAATATGTGAAAACTGAAAATGTTCATCAAAACATGGCATCTCCTGTCGGAAGGCACCAACTTTACCTGCAACATCAACAACAACATCTTCAGACACGTCAGCAACCGAGGCAAAGGGTGATTTATGAAGAAATGCACCGGCAATCAAATCTACAAATGTCCCCACCACTCCCAGGTAAAATATTATAAACAAAATTAGTTTTATAAATCATCTAATAGTTTTCATTATTTCAAGGTTTCTCTGACAGCTCCGACTCTGGTAATGTGATCAAAACTAATAGCCTCACGTCTCCTAGCTACCAGAGGGATGATAGGATTTCATCACCAACCAATCAATTAGCGCAATGGTTTTCCCCGGAGCTGCTAGCAAAAGCTTCCGCTGGAAAACTGCCACTATTAAATGTGAACCAAGCGCTCAGTTTAGAAGAATTTGAACGAAGCATTCAACATTCCTCAGCCGTCGTACACAACTAACTTTTGAAGATAGTTTTAAGTTTAATACTGCAAATTTTAAAATGACACCTAAATCAAATATTTGTATGTCTAAAATTAGATTTTTCTTTATGTTTAAGATGCGTATGTGTGTATGTGTGCACAAACCTAATAAATATTGCTTAAAACATTAAATTTTGAGCATATAAAAGTAGTTTTCTATAAATAAATATACATTAACTGAAACTATTTAAAGTATTTACCGAATGTAACTATTATATTGTACAAAATTGTTTTAATGTAAATAACACATACAATTATATAAGTTTTAAAGGATTGACTTTTCTTTAATCTCAGTGTAGATTTCAATTTAACAAGGGGCTTACGCTTTTAATTAACTTTATTATTATACCTACGTTGTACTTAGAGTTCAAAGGTATGCAACATTTGTTGCATACATCCTCTGTAACAGGAAGAAGATAGCGTTTCCGACCCAATACAGTATATATTCTTGATCAAATCAGTAGGGTATATTGATTTGAGTCAGAAGTTTGCAAACCAGAAATGGAAGAGTTTTGACCGATATTTAGTATATATATTAATGATTCAACAGCCGAATCGATATAGCCACGTCCGTCATTAAGTCAACAAAGAATTATCTTAGTTTTAAAGGTAATATGTTTTAATGTGTATTTATATAGCTGGCATAGAAAAACACGGATATTGATAAACTAATTAAAGGCAAAGAAAACGTAGCTTCGTTGTTTTTGATCATACGGCATTCTAATAATAAGACAAATCAGGCAATTATATATATATATATATATATATATATATACTATAATCATATAGATATGGAAGGATATTAATTGAACGTAATAGATAAGAAATCAAAGTTTCGTTATTTTAATCATATATTCTCACCCGGTATACATGGATTTTTTCAATATAGGTATAATTATTGCATGACTATATAAGCTTCGGCTTGTTGAAAATAGTTTTCTTTCTTTTTTAATTCAGTTGAAACAGCTCGAATTTGGATTCCTCAAAATAGTATATTTTCTTTGTGCAAGAAAAAACGTTGACACGTTTCTTTCCAATGTGGTGCGCCAGTTTATACTGCTTATATGCTGTTTGATTGATTTCGGGGTACGTTCATCTAACTTTCGCCGTTGAAAAAACATTGTCATATCAGTTTTTACTTAACCATTTTCCCTATTATCCTTTTTATAAATGTTATAAAATTTAATAGTGTTAATATGTTGTTAACACTAAAACAAAAAAATTATAACAAAAATTAAAATACTTGGTTTCTTAAGATTTTTATTGTTAGCTTATACTTATAATTTGTGTTTTGCATCTATGTAGTAATTATAGAGTTAATACAATTTATTTGTACTTAGATACTGTCTAGGATACCACAGTATACTTCTGTAATGAGCTTAATATATGGTGTAAAGGGGTTTGGAATATCTTAGGCCTGGTTATTGTTAAAAATGTTGGTACTTTGATAAAATTTATTTTGTTGTTTATTTTAAATTAATTTTATATATTATTTAAAAAGGAAATATGAAAACAATTGAGATGAAAAATATTTAAAAGCTTATAAAGGAGGTTAAAGCAACTCCACATTAATTACACTTTGTTTTATCCATTAATCGTGTTGTTACTTAGATGTTGTATATGACTGGCATTGCTACTTTCCAGTTATCTACGACAATCAAAAGTTAATAAAATGCGTATGTACAAACAATATATTTTAATAGCTTAAAATTAGTTTATAACCTTAACATGAAATAACATTGTGCTTTGGTTAAATGATTTTAACATCCATTATTAAAGGAAAAGATTCATTTCCTAAGCATTTCTTTCAAGGGTAGCTGCCCGATTTCAGTGTTGGTCTTTAATCATGGGTGTATGTTTGCAAATGTTTCCTAATTTTTTAAGCTGAAACTTATAAAAGCATTTTCGTAAAGAACATTTTCCTTTTAAACATATAAGCGGCATTGTATAATACCGTAATTCTCTACACATTAAGATAACAATATTAAACAAGTTTGTTTTTGGAGGTAGAAGAACATTTTTTAAAATACTCAAGTAAGTGGAACTGGTTTTGGGAGATACCTGGTGTTTAACTTGTATTTGCAAATTACATAATAAAATGTATCTATTGAAAACAATTGTATTGCCAAGTTGATTTTAACTAAATACAAATTAAGTCCATTCAATCAAAAAATATTTAAGGATCGCGCCATATGGAGTGATGCTGAAGTACCCTAAGTGCCCCCTTACAGTAATCTGCAACTAATGGCAATCAAAAGTATATATTCTACGGTCAACACGCCTTACTGAGTTTTATCGTGTAATATACTCGTGTTCAAGTAAAATTGTTTTACTTTATTAATTGTTTACTTTATTTTATGTAAATAACACCAAAAGGGTATGATACCCAGTTCATACTTCTGTTTGGCAGATATGTTGTGACTTACAAGCGATATTGCGTAATTTCCAAAAAGATTTATATAATAATATATTTGCTGGTAATCTAATTTATTATTGAATATGATTCAGAACAATCTGTTATCAACTGTTGCAAACATAATTTTATAATTTTGCACCCGCCCGCCCTTATGTACATATGGATATGACCTCAAAACAGGGTTTCATTAATAATATGAAAAGGTGAAAAGGCTTAAGTCGAGTGCAACGAGTATCAGATACCCTTTACTTAATCCTTCTGAGAGGTAAATACGGATATGCAAGCAGCAAACCGAATGTTGTCGAAAGTGTACAATGGCTAAAGGGAGTGCGAGGGAGATGAGACGTGCAGAGCGAATGTTTTCGAAACGCACCGAACGACACGTCATCGACTATGGCACGCCCTAAAATCTTAATGTATCTAAAAAAGTATTTGAGTGGTTACTAAAAATTATTATACCAATCAGAACTTTAATAAAAGACTTCGGCGTAAAAGAGGTTTGTTGTTGACCGTCAAATTGTTTTGAAAAAAACGTTTGCAGCCTAGGCAGCACTAGAATGCATATGCTCAATCCCAACTTTTTAGTTTTTATAGTTCTCTAGATCTCGACGTTCATACGGTAAACGGACAAACATTCCAGGTACTTTATTTTAATAATGGTCAATAAAATTCGTATCCGAAAAACATGATCTAAATTCCATGCTGCAATAAAATAAAGTTTGCGTAGTACCGTAAACTTAGTTTGCGTCAAAAAAAGACGGACGACATAGCTATGTATGTATATTGAGTAAACTGTTGATACTGAATATGAATATATTTACTATATTTTCGCAAGCGTGTCCTTTGCTTACTGAAATCAATATATGTATCCTCTGCCCGGATATAACGATGGTTAATTAAAAAAGCTACCTAATACATACTTTTTAGTGAATACGATTTATAAGCACGATATTTAGGATTATGCATTTAGATTCTACCACAACTTTACTTTACAAGTTGGTGACGCCTCCACATATCGTACAGTCATACATTTTTATCAGTCTACTTTTCCTTTCCTAAACTATATTCCTACCGAAAAGTATTCAAGTCAAATTAATATTCCATATGGTATGATTTGAATACTATTTTGGTAATAACTTTAGTGTCTATTGAAAAAGTACGCCTTGGTGTGAATTACTGATTTTAAATTCCATAACGGGTCCCCGATAGTTGAGGCACTCGGCTATATCAATTCATCCTGTTATTTTTGTGAATAAGCAACGTATATTGAACTTATAAAAATGTTATTTATTATGATGAACAGATACCGAACACAAATCAATAAATTCCGACTAAAAAATTATAAAATGAATTGAAAATACGCATCTGAAAGTTTGAATGTTACAAATGTTCTAACTTTGAGGACCTATTCTTCTAAGTCCTTGCATTAGGGACCAGATTCACAATTTATTTTCTCATTTTGTAGCACAGTGTTATAATGTTATATTTTCCTCGTTATTAATCTTACTTATTTACTCGATTACAGATTGGCCCAACGCAATCGCCTTCTTCGGGTAGAAATTCTCCATTGCTCTTGTGAATAACATTTGTTTGGCTTGAAGCTTCATCATTTTGGCTATTTTGTGTCGGAAGCGCACTTGAAGACGCATTTGTTCCTACCGCACCTCCAGTTATGGCAGTGGTGCCTGGCGCCTGCGTGTGACTATATCCAGAGCTGGTTGGTGCACCCTGAGCTCCTGCCGCCGCCGATCGCCTGTAGACGGTGCTGTTCATAGTTAGTTTGCGGACATTCTTGTCCGGGTGAAAGACGAGGATGTATACTTTAGGTGAATATAGACATACAAGAGCCACTGATGCACTAAGACTTATTGAAATGCACAGAGTAGTAGTTTGCACCTAAAAAGAAAATACGATACTTCGTTGTAGTTATCTATACCGTGTAGCTAGAAACCAGCAGCTCCGTTACAGTAAAACGATTTCCTTGATGATGTTTTGGGATATAATAAAACAGTCTAAACAGTTTAAACCTAAATTAACCTAACTTAACTTATAGTAAAAACACCGTAGTAGGTATTTCAAAAACATAATCAATCCGTAAAGTTTATACTGATTTTAGTTAGAAGTTTGAAACACTGTGAATAAGAATATAAGATTTTAATTTAGTTTGATCGACATCGGAAGACTATATAATACAGCTGCCATTGGAACAGTCGAAAAATGACTAGCCAATTATTGTGAAAAAAATCGTAACTTCGATGCCTTTGATCGTAAAGCGATTTTTATATCAGTTTTTTTTTTGTAATATAATAGTTTTAATTTGTAATATAATAAAAATCAAACGACTATATCATATATGAATTGAAAATATTAAATAAGAAGTCGAATTTTGGTTATTCTTCTGTGCTCAAATTCTTATATAATGTACAGTAATTATATTCACTTATATTATAATAGGTTGGCAAATATCTCCCGCTATCCGCTTTTTTTGCTCCTTATTCAATGCTTTATAAAAAGTGTTACAGTGATCGGATTTTTTTCAAATATGCGCCGTTTTGTTCGATAATCTGTTTCCATCTAGACGGCAACTTCATAATACCTCCCTCGTAGAAGCCCCCCTCCTTATTTGCGAAGAACTCGGACAGCCACTTTTCACAAGCATCTTTTGAGTTCAACTTTACACCACCAAGGGCATTCGCCATGGACAGGAACAGGTGGTAATCACTTGGCGCTATGTCCGGGCTATATGGTGGATGCGATAAAACCTCCCATCCGAGCTCCCGTAGCTTCTGACGAGTCAACAACGAAGTGTGTGGTCTGACGTTGTCCTGGTGGAACACTACACCCTTCCTGTTGGCCAATTCTGGACGTTTCTGGTCGATCGCCTGCTTCAAGCGGTCCAGTTGTTCGCAGTAGATGGTAGAATTAAGCGTCTGGCCATATGGGAGCAGCTCATAGTGGATGATTCCCTTCCAGTCCCACCAAACACACAGCAAAACCTTCCTGGCCGTCAATCCCGGCTTGGCCACTGTTTGGGACGATTCACCGGCCTTCGACCACGACCGTTTTCGCTTGATATTGTCGTATGTGATCCATTTTTCGTCGCCAGTCACCATCCGCTTCAAGAATGGGTCGAGTTCGTTCCGTTTCAGCAGCATATCGCAGGCGTTGATTCGGTCCAGAAGGACCGAAGGACCGAAGCAGCATGCGGCACCTAAACATCAAGCTTTTTTTTGTATCCAGCCTTCTGCAGATGGTTTAAAATGGTTTGGTGACTAACTCCCATCTCCTGTGCGATGTCACGAGATGCCACATGCCGGTCTAACTCGATGTATTCCATGATTTGATCGGTATTTGTCGTCACAGGTCTTCCGCCGGCTGGCTTATCCATGGTGTCGTTTTCACCGGCTCTGAATCGTCGAAACCATTCCTTCGCGGTTCGAAGTGATAGAGTACCATCCCCCAAAACACCATTAATCTCACAGAACGTTTCTCTAGCGGATTTGCCTTTAACGAAGGAAAACTTTAAAATAGCGCGAATTTCGGCGTTAGTGAACTCCATGTTTACACGTCTATAACTGTTGAACGCAATATCCAAACTAATCATGCATAGCGTTTTTTAGGTTATGTCAAGACCTTTCAAATTATGTATAGTATTGCCAGATACGAGCTCTGTAGCGCTTTGTACATACCCGCGAAATTCAAAAGACAAAAGGGCGGAAGGGAGATATTTGCCAAACTAATATATAGTATATTCACTTCGGGTAGCCAAAGCTGGTTTCCTATCTTGTTTAAATCATAATTTGGTCTCATTAACTATATAACTTATGTGTAATTTCACCAACGTAAACAAAATCACCACAATAAATTAACAAATACATACCTCATAGGAATTTCCAGTTCCAAAATATATGGGCACAAACGCAAGCCATATTATACATGTGGTATACATGGTAAATCCTATAAACTTTGACTCATTAAAGTTTTCAGGTATTTTTCTCGTTTTAATGGCATAAATAGTGCAAATGGTTATGAGAATCATATTATAAAGCTGAGAAAAGAGAAAAGACATGTCTTGTATTTTGCACTTTAGAATCACCTCTCTTCGGTCTGGGTAATAGAATCGAGTTCCTGGTGGTTCAACAACCATCCAAATCATTGTGATTAGTACCTGTATAGCTGAAAGGATTTAACATTAATGAAGGACCTTTAATAAAAGTAAATATTTTACCGATCAAAGAGGTGGTAATCACCACTTGTGATTGTGGACTAATATACTTAAGGCGTTGAGCTGACTTAGAAGCAGAGTGAAAGATTCGTGAAATTCGATTTGTTTTTGTTAGCAGGGCACTGTATATAATGGAAAAACCAACCCCAATACCAAACCTCTGCAGAACACATGAGCCAATTGTTGGTTTAGCTATCAGCGCAAAAGTATTACAATAACAAACCAATATACCAAAGAGAAGAGTATAGCTTAGCTCCCGACCTGATGCTCTTACCAATGGAGTGTCATGATTTTTTGCAAATAATACTATTACAATAATGGTCACTGCAATACCAAAGATTGCAATAGCCATCGGAATAAGGGCAAACAACGAGTTCCATTTCATATACTGGATGTCTAAAGCATAGCAGGAAAGCTTGTCAGCATAGGGCCAAAGCCCAGGACCGCAGTCTTTACACGTAAACTCATTATATACGTATTCAAAAGATTCACAGCTGTCGCATATCCAGCAACAGGTATCCCCCTATAAGATTAAAATTCGGTATAAATATGACATGACGAAATTGGCTGAAATGTTATTTACCTGTTGTTTCTTGATCATCCCAACTTCACATGGTAGTGAACAGGCCGAAGTAGGTTGTTCGCTTTCCTTGTTCCACACAACTGTTTCTGAGTTTAGTTGCAACCCATTAAACCATTTGCCAATAACCTGAAAATTCATTCGGCTATAGTTAGATACATTACAATTCTCAGGTTTTAATATATATGTGTTTGGATATTATTAACCGAATCGCTTTCTAGCCATTTAAACTTTACGATATCAAAATGCTGATGATAAGAGCAACTAATTGTGTAACATGATAAAGCTTTTAGTTTTGCTTTTGTGTCTTCTCCGTGATAATAAACAAATAAAAATAGTATATATTGGGAATCCCATAACATTATTTGTGTCATTTTTGAAAAACTTTTATTAATTTACTTCGTTTCACTTTAAAAAATGTGTGTATTTTATAGTACCTTATACTGATATCCTGAAGAGTTTTCTAGCCGTTGATAATTCAAAATGTCATATCTAGCCAAACCATCGCCCTGCCGATCAAATTTGACTTCGCTGCCAGCAAGATCTATTCAGGACGAACCCCATGCAGGATAACAAAGTCAATTACATATTAGTGAAAAATATTAATCAAAAGGAAGTACTCAACCTATAAATGATACGTTCAAAAGGTAATTGTTGTAAAAATCTTTTCCGTCATAATTAACCATGTCAGGACACGCTTGGGACTTGGTATCCGTCGAAAGTTTTCGATACCACACAGATTCGCTCTGTAGATGCTTCCTTGTCTCAGAAGTTTGGTCGCTTTGCGTTTTACAACGATCATTATGCAAATTATGAAGTGCATAGGCAAATGCGTAGACGGCATCCACAACGAATTGAGTCTTTGACTCCTGTTCGTATCTGTAGAAATATTGTGTCCTTGTTATTATTCCATTTCATTAAAGTCAACTTGTTGCTTATAATTAATATTAATAATATATATTTTTAATAATATTTTAGGGGCAGGCTTTAATAAAGAAGAAAACAAAAAAGAAAACGATGAGGGTAGTGTGCAGTTCTCTGCGCACTTTTGAAGGTGAACGCTAGACAATATAGCGTCACAAGATCATTTAAAGAAATTTTAACGAATTCGAAAGCTAATTAAAATTCTCCAACGCTTCTATGAAAATTTTTTTTTTTTCATAAAAAAGTTTGAATTTTTTTTTACAAAAAACGGCACTTCCCTGAAGACACTAACAATACTAAGGCAGAAAGTGCAAATTTATAGTTAAAATCACTTAATTGGTCCAGGTCCTTATTACGCGTCACTCGTGATCGCCACTGGCCCTAATCACGGCGGAAAATAAGGTGGACTTTAAACAGACCCCCAGCGCCAAGAAAGCAATATGGGCTGTAGCAAGAGAGCGTATAGCAAAACCCCAGCCTCGAGGAGTGGATTAGGCCGAAGAATGTAAAAAAAAACTTCCATCTGATCTGGCTGCTTTCGCAATTTTTTGAAGCACTTTGGCCACGGGAGTGTCCATGGTGTGGAAATGGATGGAGCGACACCGTAATGCACGTGCTTTTCAAGTGTGGCAAGTTAGTGAAAGGGAGGATAACCATTGAATCCTTGCTTGGTAACAGTCTGAGTACGGACAACCTGATCCCATTTATGCCTTAAGAAGAGGAGGAGTGGCAAGCGGCTAACAGCTCGCTGCAGTGGAGACAACCAAGCTCAGAGAAACAGGAACAGGAGATAGCGTGTGTGAACGGTCCCACCATTCCCCCTAACAACTGCAGAGAGCGATCCCTTTGCATATGAAGATCAAAATCCCAATTATTTATTTGTCATAGCCAAGAAAATTATCCGAAAGGTTTTATTCAAAGTTTATATATTGAGCTACAATTTGTATAGGTAATTTTGTTTTATTTTTACATTATATATGTAAGTATACAAGGCTTTTATATATTATACATGGCAAGCAATGCCATATTCTGTCCACAGGAAAATCAGAACTGTTTACCTCCTATACTTAAAATCTTTACATTATTATAGACAGACGGATAAACGGACATCCTGATTTAGAGTATCCTTTTGATCTATAAGTATTAATGGTCTAAAAATAATAAACTAGTTGGAACTTACCCAACTTTTTCTGATAACCGGTAACTATCGTCGCATGTTGTTTTAGTCTTGACGCCGATTATATTGTCAGTAGAATCAACTGATTTTGCAGTATCAGATTTATCCGAACCAGATGTCAGAACACAGTTGAAAGTATCCTCCCAGTACTCAGCAAACCATGGATTCCTTTGATTTGTCTCTGGGGACAGCTGCATCATGTAGCGATCAAAATCTGAGATTATCTCTGACTGCAGTTCTACAGTAATTGCACCCTCAGCAATGTCCTCTAAGCCGTCGAGTAGTTTTTGTTGTTTCCCCCAACCATCACTTGCTATCCAATGAAACGGTTGGGATAGGTTAGCTCGTTTAGCTGCTTGTAGAATTCGACGCGCATCTTCAGCTCTCGTAAAAAGTACTACGCCGCGAGCGTTAGGCTTCTTTTGAAGTTTGCTTATAATGGAATCAAAAACTTTGTCGTCTGCGGCACTGGGTACTTTCTCGGCTACTGCTATGCATACATTTCGTTCGGTAGCTTCCTTATGCAATGCTTCAATCCCATATTCACCTATTAAATGGTTCATTAAATATCATACAAATAATATCATACATTAATAACGTATATAATTATATAATATATTATATACTATATATAATATATATGTATATTATATATATACATATATAATATATATATTTTATAATATATTATATAGTCGAACTATTTTGATTACATTCAAACCGAATTTATTTGTTTATGACAAAATTATGATTTCTTTTCTATTAATATGTATAAATATATATATATATATTATATATTAATATATATATATATTATATTATATATTATATTATATATTAATATTATATACATATATATGAATAGAAAAGAAATCATAATTTTGTTGTTAGTGACCATAAACAAATAAATTCGGTTTGAATGTAATCACAATAGTCGACTATATAATATAACTGCTAGTCGGAAAATTAATTGCAAATATTAAAAAAGAAATCATTGCTTCGTTGTTATTAATTATAAACTATTCTTATTCGGGTACAGCCGAATTTATTTAATTAATTTGATTATTTTTTGTATTTAATTATGATAAATAATTACAGCAAGGGTATATAACCTTCGGATTGCCGAAGACTGATTAAAACTCACCATAAGATCCTTCCGAATGTATCGTTGATACGTAGGACCAGTTAAAGTTTTTTAGTATATCCACGAGGGCTACGGATTGGAAAGTGTCTGGCGGTACTGTTCTAGCAAACAGATCAAAGCGTGATTTGTCCGAAAGTGTCTTAGCGGTTGACGCCGGTGATACTTGAGGAATATGAAACAGACGCAGCAAATTTGCCACTTGCAAGGACACTGAACTGTAAGATCCACCAATAACTCCAAAAACTGGCCCCGATGAAGTATTTTTTTTTAGTTGTGGGCTTGACTTATCTGCACACTCAAACACTGATGTGTCTAAATTGTTGAGGGATGCTCTCACAAACTGAAGAGACTGGTTGAGGGCATATGTGTCTCTTGAACAGGTGTCAAGTATATGGACTCCTATCGTAATTCCAGGGAGTATATTGGGGTCATTGTTTACACGATCTATAGCATACAGCATTGCTTCCAGACGTTGAACTCCCCTATTATATACTTTTGGTCCGCATGGAGCACCTTCACCTTTTTCATGGACGGGAAATAGCCCACCTAGTATTATGTCGCCGGGCAGATGAACGGACACTGAATCCTGAGTATGTGCGTTACTGTGACTTTTTAGGTCTACTACTGGACTCCAGGATAGCACAATCACGACGACTAAAATTGTTGCGATATTTTTTTTCTGTTTCATGTTTTCAAAGACGTGAATGATATTATGTGGTAAAATGTATTAAAACCGCGACTTAAAATACCAGTTCATGTTTTTGCCTATCGTTATTGGATGTCTGCCGAAGGGTACCGAGAAAAGTCTATAATTAAAAATATATTACAAGCTGATAATTTTCATATAAAAGCAAGAGAAAATCCTATAGTCGAGTTAATCGACTATCAGATACCCGTTACTCAGATACTGGAAGGGTGCACGAAAAATGTTAACATATCTGCCTGCTTCATTCTCTTCAACGCAACTTGTATACCCTTTTACTCTACAAGTAACGGGTATAACAAGGTAACGGGTATAACTTAAATTTTAAAAATATTTTGTCATATTGATAGAAATTGGTAAGACAAATAATGAAAAAACAAATCAAAAACTGTTAAAAAGTGTGGTTTTAGGCGACTTGCGCTGCGCCTAAATCATTTGAATCTACATGTTTATCCTCAACGTTGTAGGTTCTATAGTACCCGTTGACGTGTTCATACGGGCGGACATGGCTGTATCGACTCCGGCTAGTGATCTTAACCAAAAATAAGGTCGAAATTACTTTCTAGTCGCAGCACATGAGGCATGAAAAATGTTAATATTGGATTAGTGCCAAAGTATGCAAGGCTTTTGAGGATTTGTTACTCAGAATGTTATTAAATCAGTGCCTATTTTTTCTTAAAATAAAACCTTGTCCTGAGGTCTAAAGAAAGAAATAATATGAATATTTATATAAATGTTTTTATGTAATGCTTTTTAAAAGGTTTTTTCTGAATACTGTAAACAAAACAGGAGAGAGTTCCCCAACTATCAAATACCCGTTCCTCAGCTAAAAACTAACCATTTTTCAAATATGTGGGCGTAACAGTTTCGGGAGATTTGTGGGCGTTAGAGTGTGCGTGGAAAAATGTTTTTTGGCAAAACAATAGAACTTTACAAGACTAATAAAAAAATGTAAAAATATCAAAACATTTGTCAAAAGTGTCTCTGGAAGCTGCATGCTCAATCTTCTGATCAAGAATATATATACTTTATATGGATGGAAACGCTTCCTTCTGCCTGTTACATACTTTTCTAAAAATCTAGTATACCCTTTTACTCTAGAGTAACAAGTATAATTAGGGCTCGTTATCCACGACCTAATATACCCATTAACAATAACAAAAAAATATTTTTTATCTAAAACAACGAAACTATGATATCCCTTTTAAAATGTTTAATTAACTGTTCCTTTGGACTGCTCCTATGGTAGCTATAGGATATAGCATTCTAAATTTGATAATATTAAAACCTATCCTAAATGTACTTAAAAAACTCTGTATTCGAGATTAGAAAATCTTATAAGTAAAAAAAATTAGTAAAAACAAGAAAACAATCTCTTTTCTGAAATCTTCAATTAATTGTTCCACTCTTCGAAATTATACATTGTTAAAAACTAGTGTATACCAAATTAGAACACATTAGATCAAAACGACGAAGATTTATTTTCTTCAGACGCTTTTTTTACAACTTTTATATAATAAGTAGGGGTACTAACAATATATTACTTTATATGGTCGGACAAGTTGGTCGGTCCAACGTGCGGTACAAGCTTTGGTCTGAAATAAGTATACTATCTGCAAGGGTATGAACACTAAATAATGCGCGATATACCCATTTTGTAACGAAAAATTACTATTTACTCCCCAAACCCTGTAAAACATTATTTATAGGAACCGTTGTTGGGCACTGCCAACAACAGGTGTGGGATAGTCAGAACACCAGGCAATTGCCTTCATACTTGGTTTTGTATATCATTTTGGAGCTTCGTCAACCCTTCGGTTTTTGACTGTGGTAAAAGCACTCACTATTAACACGAAAGCTTCGAAATGTAAGGACAAGCAAAGAAGTACCAAAAAGAATGGTACTGATGATGGCGTTGCTCTGAAGCTGCAAAAGCAATGTGTTAGCAAAAGCCCTTAAAAAAATAGCACAGTTATATTCATATATGTACAAAGTTATTGTTAAATATCGAATCCCTCTAACAATACATTTTCAAGTACAGCTATCTTATATGTACGCGTAGAAAAGTGTAACTTTTTCAGAAAATTGTGTTTATTTTTTGTCAACGAAATGACTTTATATATGATGAATATTAACTCTCCAACCACTTTTAAATTTGCAATAATTGATGAACTTTTATCACTCCTTTAGAACAAGGTTTTCTTTCCCATAGAACATATATTTTTATTATTCATAATTAAATTACCTCTTTGCTTATTTAAATTCTTATACAACTTTATCGCAAACTTTCTTAAAACTGTATTTATATTTCTCTAATACGCGTACGTCTTGTCCTAGCATTACCAGTTGGTTGACTGATTTATCCATGATAAGCCAACAGAAAATCAGTTCTTGTAGGGGCAGCAGCACAACAACAACCAAGAAATGGGCACCAGCAGCAGTGGCCAAGAAAAAGAACAACAATGGCAGCAGCCATCTACAACAATCCTTCTTAACTGTCCATCTCTCACGGAATTCGAGAGAGAAAAGCACCATAACGGTAGCATACCAAAGAGAAACAACAAAAAGCATCTGTATTCTCTTAAACAAAATGCAATAACATTTCTTAAGAGAGCTGTGCGCGCATAGGGGTATTCCTGATTTTAAAGTAGGTATGTTTTCAATAAATAATTTAAGATTTTCAGGAGTCTGCAACCATTTCTTAATTCTTATTTTAAAATTACAAAATATTAAAATAAATACGAATTTAAATTTGTCCGCATCTGTTCGTAGATAATGCTCAGAGAAAAAGTGGTGGGTCATACATGAGTCGTAAAATACTTACCCTTATTTGACGGATATCTTAATTATGACGGTCTATTTTCATTTATTCATCTAGTGTCAACTAATGTCCGATTCCTTTATTCAAAATAAATTAACTGTAAAATTTCATATCTAAACTCGAAAATTATTATCCATGATCTTAAAATAATTGTTTTCTAATTTAGTCGACGTAATTATCCCTGTTACTCGTAAGTTATACAGATATGCCAGATTGGTTAATAAGTATGCAACAGGTAGAAGGTAGCATTTCCGTCCCTATATCGAATATACATATATTCTAGATCTATTGGCCACGCTTTCTGTAATGCCGACATGCCGCCTTTTTCTTTTCATAATTCGTCTTTGCAAACTTATATATATAAGCCAAAAAATTTTTTTTGCCCAAGCACATCCAACGCTCCTTCTAACACCCACAAACCGCCCAAAACTGTTTCGCCCACATTTTGAAATTTTTGCATTTATTTTGTCAGGGTCTGTCGTTATTTCAGGAAACTAGACTTTAGCGTTCTATCTTATTTTATGTTCCGTAGATTAATTTATTCTTCAGATCTGGACAAATTTTGTGGCGCAAATCCATATGTATATTTCAAAGTCAGTAAAAATTATTTAAATATAATTATTTTTTTTTTTAATTATTTTAATATTAACTAAAAAGCTACAATAATACTGATAAGAAAACTTTCATCGAGTTTGTGTTTAAGGCCTTTAGAGAATAGCTTATGTCATTCTTTACTTGAGTTATCCCGACTTTTACATATAATTAATTAATCGTACATATAATTGTATATTTATTTACATACATTTTTAGAAATGGGATCCGTGATAGGAAAAAAATGGGTCTTAACTACGGATTCTATTTATTTTTTTTCGATTTCCGGGATATCGCTTGTCTATCCCACAGCTGTATGTATTTAATGTGGTGCACATATAAAAAAAAAATTGTTTTTTTTCTATATAGGCGATAAACTGATTTAAACTGTAAAAAATGAAATAATTATATTAAATCTAAATGCAGAAAGGCTGAAACAAATAATTCGTTGTGCATTTTTAAAATTGATATCCCTTCCAATTAATGTTTAAAGAATAAACAATAACACTAGGTGTGGTAGCCACTTCTGCGTTTCTCCGTTTTCATAGATATCGATATATTCTCGCATAAGTATATTTCTATGCTTAATTTAAGACTAATGTCATGGTCCGATGTATTGCTATGGACTTCAGATAACCATGGGGAGAGCAAGCATTTATTAGCGTTAAAGCATATGATAATAGTCTTATTCATTTTTGAGTCTGGTCGAGTCGTGAAAAATTCCGAGGATAAATTCTAACCTTTTGCTCTTGCCATTTTGACTAAAACCATTGCACCAAATTTGATAGAGGATATCGTCGAATTCAGATATTGTATTACTTATGCTTACTATGCACCTATGCACAGTTCAAACATTTTCATTTTATATGACAAATTATATATTAGCAATAAAAAAAAGTATAATAAGTGATTGCTAAAACAAACACAATTAAAAATGCTTGCATTTTAAATAAATTGCCCCGTAAATACATTTTTAACCAATTTTTTTCATCTTCTTATGTATTATGTGTGTGTGACACGGTCTGATGTGGGCAATAATTGACTATTATTAATTTTACTAACAAGTCATCCGTTATATAAACAAGGTAAATCTTTTGTTTTAAAGTGGTTCACAATTAATATTTTATGATATACGGATGTATATATTCAAATGACAAATGGCTTATATTTAAGAATACATTTTTAGTAAGGCAAACCGCAATAGAATAACAAAATACAAAAATTGTAATTTCAAGTATTTTCTTTAAAAAAAATATATATATAATCAGTCTTGAAATATGTGAAATATGTTTCAACAAAAATTATTCTTATATATGTTTAAGCGTTTGAGACTGTTACTTAACTATCGTTGAACAAAATGTTCAGTCATCTGTATTACTTGTGAGTGTGATATCGATGTTTCGAATAATAAATGCAACTCTGTTCCTATGAACAGAACACATTGCATGTGGAAATTGTTAAAAAATAGTTTTTGAATGTAAAGATATAGCTGGAATTACGGCTTGATTAATTAAAATAAATACATTTTCTAAATACACTTAAAGTGGAATTCATAACATTTGTATTTTTTGTACATAATCACATCGGATAGGCACATACACACATTTGCTCAGGTAAATTGATGGGTAACAATGGGCAACAAATATTACATGATACTTTGCAAGCTGACTTCGCAGAGTTCAGGGCAGAAAGATTTTAACACTAACACTTTAAAAAGTGTCTCATCTTTTTAAAAATGATGCAAACCTTGAAATTCGTTGCACGTTTTCACCATATGCACCTTTGTGATAAACGATTAAACGTCCAAAGTCACAACGTCAACGTCGGCAAATAAGTAAGGCTACCAGGATGGACTGATAAAAGTAAATGGAAATTGTTTCTGGGCTTCAGCTCTAGACTTTTTAAATCGAAATAAGTGTACATAATATTTTTATGACATTAATTTCGGTTGAAAACTTAATATTTAAAACTTTTTAATACTTACTTAATATAATACTTTCAAGTTACATCGATATGAGTGTTCTTTCTAGACATTAAAGACATTTAATGATTTTATTCGTGTCAGCTCTTTTAATTTCAGAGACGTTTCTGAAAGTTATACACCAATATATTTCCAGGTAAAATATTTTATGCATACCTGAAATAACGTTTCATTAATTTCAATTAATATTAATTAAAGAATCAAATGGTTGAGTGACGTCTTATTTTAGTGGGTCTAAAATCGCCCCAGAAATCGTCTATGCAACGGCTAAGCTAACCGTTTGGCGATTTCCTACATAACTAACTCTAGGAATAGACATACGTAATGCAACAAGCTATACCAACTTTATCAACACAATCAGATATAGATAAAGTCATGCAGCCCCATTCAGCACAAAATATGGTAAGTCGATATGACAATAACATCTTCAAAATTATGAACATACATATGTATATCCATTTTCACATTATTTGCTATTAAGTATAAATTTCATTGTATTCGTTTTAAATTATTTGGCTGTTTTTCCTCAAATAGTGTTTGAAAAGAGCTCAAATATTTATTTTTATAAGGTTGCCGACTCTTGTCTATGTGAAACAAATGTATTAACATGGTATCACACTTCTCGTACAGTAAAGCGAAATAAAAAAAATTAAAATTTATGGAGTATTTGTGTGTATTTTCCGTACAATTATTAAAATTAAAGTTCGTGTAGATTGTTATCCTGGCACGCACCATCGTGCGTGACAATTTTACGATATTGTCTGTTCATTACCATTTATATCCATTATATATTTGAATATATATATATATATATATCCATATATATTTATATCCATTTGATTTCAAAAAAGATACATTCAGAAAAAATTAGCGGAAAAGTGCGAAAATAACATTTCCAAATGGAATTTGTTGATGCCGATGAAGCAAATTACTTTGAATTACGACGAAACCTCAATAACTGAATGCAAAAAAATATCTGTCGCCAGTAGGCCGTTTGGATTGAAATTTTCGTTGTAGTCTTTTGACCATAGTTATAATTTTATAAAACAGGCCAAGCGAAAAACTGTTGTTTTGCGACCCCGAAAGTTAAACGACTTCAGCGACGAATACAGCTGAATACAGCTCTTTGTAGAAAATTTTAAATTAGGAAATTATAGTCAAAATTAGATTTTGTTTTGTATGTTTTGCGACATAGTTTTTGTAGCACTTTAGATTACCAAACTTTTGGAATACAACACATATCAGTTAAAACTTGCTCTTCGTAGTTATTTTCAATCATAAATGTACTATTTTGTTGTACATACAGGTAAAGCATAGTAGCATTTGAACCAAAATGTTAGAAATGAGTCAGCAAAGCTTAATCCAAATTTGAATTTAATTTAAAATTCTAATTTTTATTTAATTTATTTTTATTTATTTTTTATTTAAATTTAGTCATACCATATTATAAAATCTTTTAGTATTGTTATACTTTATTATTAAAAAAGACATTCCCAAAAATAGTCAATACATGTTATAATTTATTTTTTATTGATATTGTTAGTTTGATAAAAATTGGGGTTTGTATACAAGCTTCTTTATTTAATTATAGAAATATATAGTACATATGTGTGCAATTAAGAGAATAGTCTTCACACAGTTTATTGAAGTTGGCTTACTTAATTAAGTAAAAGTAATAAAAGCAATCTCTAACTTGATTGTTCACTTAACTTCGTGTTAACGTCTTCTGGGCATGGTATGAGGTAACTTATTTTAATACAACAAATCTCATTCTAAAATATTTCGACATCAAACAAAATCACATTTCAAGCCAGGTTCCAAAAACCTTGAATTTCCAAACATATTTTATAAATTTCACAACGTTTTTGTGGGTGCAAGAAAACATTAATTAAATTTTATAATGCTGAAACATGTACCTGTTTGTTGGTGAATGGCAGAATAACTCAACAACGTTTTAATTATCTAAAAGCTAAACTCAAAGGCGGCCTCTTATCCAAACACGTAAATGTTTTAAACAATTAAAAGTGGAAAAGGTTTACAGAATTAAAGGCTCCTAATTTTGATGTTTCAGGGAGAAACTGTTTCATTGCAGTGCTGGCTTTTTATTCG